TATATCATAGACCCTAAAAACTCACTCACATCTCTAATCAACCCCAAATCTTGGTATAATTTATGTCAATTTGTCAAATTTCAAGCTAAGAATTTAACCTTAATTTCTTAAATACCCTAAAATTCAATGTTAGATCATATAATATACATCTAATAATTAATTACCTATCTCAATATATCAAAACTAGTACCTTGATTTGATAAATAAATAAACTAAGAATCAACTCCACCAATTAACAACACCAAGCAAGACACCGTCGATCTAAAATTGTCACGATTTTTCCTAAATATCTAAACTGTAACCAATATGTCAGATTCAAAAAAATTATTGTTCTTTTTTACCAAATGCCAATCATTGGCATATGATTGCCCAATGATTGGCAGTCACTCCTGTCTCCTCCCAATACAATAACCCAGAACCCAATAACGTTCTGCCATCCAATTTTTCAATTCTAAATTCCTTTTTTTTTTAAAAAAAAACAAATCTTAAATAACCAATTTCCATGCTTGCCATATAAAGTAACGATGCAACACTGCCATTTGCCCTTTTTTATTTTTTTCCATCAATTAAAATAATAATAAAATGATAAAATAACATAAAAATCAACCCTTAAGTCAATGTACACCATCAGAATGATGGTCATTAATGGCATTAAATACACCCTGGGTTGATACAAAACAACGAAATTTTTTTAGAAAGAAACCGCCATTCTTTATATATTGAACACATACCAATTGATTTCCCCACTTTAATATTAACCACGGAAAAGAGTCTAAAATACCCTTGAAACATTGAAAATGGTACAAAATTACCCTTCATCCATCTATTGGCTCCAAAATGCCCTTTTCATCCACCTATTGACTCCAAAATACCCTTGTCATCCACCTTTGAGTTCAAAATCGACCACTTATTTAATGATTTTAAATTTAAACTATTTAAATATTTTTAAAATACTTCATGTTCAACAATTGGTTATAATTTAATTTATTTGTATTATTTATAAGCCAACCCACTACCCACCCATTACTAACTAAACCCCACCCAATTAATAATTCAACAATAATATCAAAATCGTTATAAACACTACTAAAACCGCTTATTTATGAGGACAATTTCAATTTGATTCTCTTTCAAGATTGAATTAGAAATTTATGATTTACGGTAAAGAAGTAATACACCCTGAATTAATTCATGCACTTTTTTAAAATATAATTTTATGAATATTTATGATTTGTTTTAAAACTTTTAATATATTATTTTGAAAAAAAAGTTAACTATGAAGTAACATCACATATTGAGACGTAAGAATAATTAAGATGAACATAGTCAGACTTTTAAGTTTATCGGTAATTTTTATTTAGACACTTGAATGTATGATAATTTAATTCTATAGATATTTTCGTCTCAAATTTTTAAAAACACTCAGTTGGCAGTAACTTTTCTGTTGTTGCATTAATAATGTGAGTGATTTATTAATTTGGAGGGTTTAATTAGTAATGGATGGGTAGTGGATTGATTTATAAATTATACTAATAAGTTAAATTATAACAAATAGTTGAGCGCCACGTATTTTAAAAAATATTGAAATAGTTTAAATATAAAACCGTTAAATAAGTGGTCAATTTTGAACCAAAAGGTGGATGACAAGGGTATTTTGGACCTAATAGGTGGGTGGGAAGGGTATTTTGGAGCCAATAGGTGGATGGAGGATAATTTTGTACCATTTCCAATACTTTGAGGGTATTTTAGACCCTTTTCCGTATTGACTATTCATGTAATAATATAATAATAACAACAAGCCAAATCACTCTGACAACATACCTTTGGTAGATTTGAAAAGGGATGAGAAGTTCTTTGTTTTCACTAGCAGTGGCTATTGTTTCTCCTCTCGTTCGTCGCTTACGATAAGTTTCTGCATCCACTCCTTTTATTTTCTAAACAAGAGTTTATTAATCGTGAAACCCCAATAACCTATTATCTATATTACTTATTTCATAAGTTACCTCAACTAGGTACTCGTAGTTACTGAATAGTTAAAATAACACTTTTAATTTTTTCGCAAAGAGCCAAAATAGTCCTAGTTCTCAAAATGACCTAACGGGTCGTTACACATGTGATGCCACATTGCACACCAATAGAGTCCACTGCCACATATACTAAAAGAAAAAGGGTAAAAATTACCCTTAAACAATCTAAAATAGTTCATATTTACCTTTAAACTATTGTTCGGCTCAAAACTACCCTTTTCGTCAAATTATTGGGTCAAAAGTGTCCTTATTAACGAAAGTTGTTAAATTTCATGTGAATTCCACATTGCACTCTAAACTACCCTTTCCGTCAAACTATTGGTTCAAAAGTGTCCTTATTAACGAAAGTTGTTAAATTTCATGTGAATTCCACATTGCACTCCAATAGGGTTTCACTGCCACATAGACTAAATTCTTAAATCTTTATTACTCTTTTTCCCCTCATTTCATTATTTTCCAGAAATGATTTTACTCCTTCTCCCTCATTTTGCGGCTAAGAGTTTCAAAGTTTTTTTCGTCGCTGGGTTTCAAAGTGAATCTTCGTGATTATGGGTTAGTAAATCTTTTTTCTTATTTTATCTCCAAAATGATATTTATTTAATCTCCAAAATAAATTTTGTTTTATCTTAAAAAATTGTCACTTAAATAGAAAAAAAAAATATCACAATTCTAAGTGATAAAAAAATAGAGTTGATAATGTAAGAATAGAAAAAATGACAAAATAATGAGTGCATAGTTGTAGATTAATAAAACACATAACCAATTAACGGGATAAATTTTTAAATTGTATAAATATATGGAAACAAAAATTAATTTGGCATAGAATAATATATCATATACATATGAAACTTCCACAATAGATAAACTACATATTGACCTTCATATAATAGTGAGTTGCACTTTTTAGTCTTGATTTCTACTTCTTGCAATCTTGAGTTATTATAAATTAGTGTTATTCGTCAAAATTAGGAAGCACATTAAATATTAAATTATGAATGATTTACAACTTAAAAATAAATGTTTTGTCAATTGATATCAATACTTGAATTTCAAAATTAAAATACTTTATTACCTTATTTCAATTAAATTTTTTGATTATTATCGATAGAATGTTGATTTAAAAAACACTATAAAAATAATTGTGAATTATTTTCATTTTAAATTTTGTTAAAAGTCAAAATAGTTACAAAAACTTAAGTTTTATAAATATAAAATTGATCTAAAGTTTGTACTCACTCCCTTTTGGTTTATATAATTTTAATTTAACTTAAGATTTTTTTAAAAGAAAAAAAACTTTTAAAACTCATGGTCTAAAACAACTATAAATGTTCATACGACTGTAAATCATATTACTACGAATAAAATGAATATTTTAAAGTTAAAATGTTAATTAAATATATTATACATCATTCTTTTGAAACTGACTACAAAGAAAAATATGTCACATAAATTATTTTAAAGTAAAATTTTCATAAGTTTTCATAGTGTAAAGAATTAATTAAATTATATCCATACTTTTTTCAATAGAATAATACATAAATATGTCCTTTAACTTGGCCTCATTTTACAATTATACCCTTCAACTTTGAATGTGCACAAGTAGACACTTAAATTTATATAAAATTGAACAAATAGACACAAACATCCTACATGGAAATTTGTGTCCTAGTGGTGTCCTACTAGAACTATCAATATGGGCTAGCTCACCCTATCCGGGCTAACCCATACATGCTTTGACATTTTACGGGTCAGGCCGGGCTAGACCATTTTTGGCGTGAGCCAGAAAATGGTCGGCCTAACCCACAAGTACGGGGGCTACAGGCTTGATGGACCAGCCCACTTTTTAAAAAAAATTATATTTTTTTAAAATTATAAAATTAAATTTTAAATTATAATTTAAAATATTATCATAAATATCGATAAAACAATATTACATGATGTTAATGTTAGTACTTGTTAATCAAATCAAAATAAAATTATTTTTATAATATTTATTAGGGATAATTTCAAAGACCTCCATGTTTCGCTCTATAACACTCACCTCCCCTTTGGTTTACGATATTACGTCTACCTTCTTTATTTTCATTTACTTGTAACCATTCTTTAAACCTATTTAAAATAAATATAAATTAATATAGAGCGAAGCCTGGAGGGAGGTCTCTAAAATTATCTCTATTTATTAAGTTTTTTTTTCAAGTAAAAGTATAAATATATATAAAAAATATTAACCTAATTATTTTGAATTTGAACTCTCTTTAATTTTAAAATTTAATATTATATTAAATTTTTTAATTAATTATTATTGGCCCATGGGCCGACCCTACCTATATTTCTCAAGCCCATCAAATCAACAGGTTTATTCAGGCCAGGATAAAAAACCTTTTTCTTAAATGGGCTCCAAAAATCTTAGCCAAACCCTATTAAATCCCGGGTAAGGCCAAGCCGGCCCAACGTGCCTAGCCCATATTGACGATTCTATGTCCTACATGTATTATGACAAGTAGGACATATGTTCCTATTTGTTCAACTTTATACAAGTTTAAGTGTCTATTTGTGCAAACTCAAAGTTGGATGGCATAAATATAAAAAGAGGTTAAGTTAAAGGGTGTATTTATGTATTATGCCTTTTTCAAATTACAAAAAAATTTCTTAGAATCAAATAATTTCATATAAATCAGCACACACGCGGACACATCGATAGTGATAAATTGCTGTTGAGAAAACTTGCAGACACATAGCTCATGGATGAGTTCGAGAGAGAGGGCTGTAGAGAATATGGATGTATCCGAGAAGGGAGAGGTGTATCAAAGAGAGGATAGGGATGTATTCAAGATGGGATAAAGATGTATCCAATAGAGGATATGAATGTATCGAGAGGAGATACTGATGCGTTTGAAAGAGGATAGATACATTTGTAATTTTTTTAAATAGTAGAACTTTTTTAGAAATTATAATAAAATAAGATATCAATTCTCATTCCTTGTTTTCTATGAGAACATTCAACTTCAGCCGAGCACTGGAATTAACGACAACTTTTGGGACCACAAGGAATTTCTTCAAAGGACTATCTTCTGACCAGTTTGGCACACTCTCTTCAACAGATTCTAGTTTAAAAGAGCTTTCCCCATCAGTTACTACAAGCTCGTATGAGAACCTTCTCTTCTGCTTAAATGGTCCAACGCGGATGATATTGATAACACTTCCAACACAGTCACTAGCATGGTTGATGATAAAAAGTATAACATCTGTCCTCATTTGAAGAATTATGTACCTTTGGTCTTTTTCTATATAAATTGGATGGACAGCATTGAAAGAAATGTGCTCTGCTGAAGATGCATGTTTCTCGCTAAAATGTGCATATACCTTTGCTGAAGTACCTATAAAGTCACAGCCATGGGAAGGACAAAAACAAGGCACATAGATTCATACATTTTCATGGTCAATTTTCTTACTAAGATTCAGAATCTCCTTGCAACCATTCCTATTGTTCACGCCTGACACTTTCAGAGATTCTAGAACATTCTCCATAGCTTGACAACGGTTATATCCAATTGGCAAACAACATGATGGACACTTATTAGCAATCTTGATGCAGAAAGGGGCACATGCTATGTGCCCATTCCCACACTATATTTTTGTCCAGAAAGAAAAAAGGATGTCAGAAAATATATTCATTGCAAGCAGTTAGAATGTTTGCAGATGATAGCTTACTCTACTCTGCATGCTTATAAATTTTCAAGGTTTATCTAAGTACATAGCTTAAGAAGTAGGGATAAAGAAAAATGTGTTACATGGAAAGCGTAAATAAATCGTACTTAAATTTCACTATTTAGCTCTTTGTATTAGCATTTGCCATAAACCTAGAGTCATGGCTTTAATTTCTTGCTTCGTCCAAAAGACTCAATAATTTCATTTAAAACACGCTCATGCATTAAAATGTAATATTTTGTTGCAATAACAACAAATTGATTACCAATAGCTATATTCAACCTTAGATGAAAAAGGACATAAATTAACCACCCTGGCAAGGAGAAGGACGTAGAATTTAGGATCTGAACCTCAGTTTAGTATGCTTTTAAATGCAGTAACAAGATTAAATCTTAAGTTACCGTGAGCTAAAACCAAGAGTTCTAAAAAGAGGCCTAGGTACATAACTTCTATCAAGATAGATCTCCAACAAAGGAATAGTATACAATTATTAACTTCTATCACGATAGTATACAATTAATAACCTCTATCACGATTGATCTCCAAAAATGAAATAGTATACGGTTAATAACTTCTATTAGATAGATCTCCAAGAAGGAACAACAAACAGTTAATAACTTCTATCACTGCTCATACCCTAATCCTTTGTGGGGCAGAGGCACTTCAAGTTCTATATCTCAATCTAAATCTGAAGCTGTTTGAAGCTGTCTCTGGATTACATATTAACATGATGAAGAACCAGATCTACCCTATCAACGAAGTCTACTTTGAATACCCTGGCACGGAATCCTGGGGTATGGCACATGCTCTTTCCACTCTACTTAATTTGGTCTCCCTTTGGATGCAAAATAGAAAGCACATGAGATATGAAATGTAGTGATGGAAAAGGTGGAGAAGACGCTGGCAAACTGGAACATGCAATATCTATTTATGGGAGGAAAGCTAACCCCATCAATAGTGTATAAGACAGCGTACCTACCTACGTCCCTCATCCCAATGTCATATGAGGTGAAAGAGCAACTAGTTGGTCTGAGAAGGGCTTCCTATGGGAAGGAAACCGTGAAGAGCATTAATTCCACCTTGTGAAGTGGGATAAAGTATTATTGTCAAAGGAACAGGGAAATTTGGGCATTAGCGATCTTTAGAAACACAACAATAACATTAAGGGAAGAAACTATCTCACCAGATATTTTGCAAGAAAAAAGCCTAATTACAATGTAACTTAAGCCCAGATTAAATCGGGATGCGAAAAGAAGAAACCCATTTACAATGACACCCATTTGTAATCTCTAGTCAGAATGAGATTAACTTGATTGAACCTGGTAGCCATCTCCCCACTTAAAGTGTCTTATTATTCTCCATCATAACCCAGTGCTTCCTCTAACTTGAATATTACGCCATCAAGACTATGACTTCACCAGTAAAACAAAGACCTATATTAGCCAGTTATTCTCCAATTTTAATGAAATGTTATAACTTCAAAATTAGAACCACATGAGATGGGATAAGCACAGTCATTCCACTGTCAGCAATTCTCCCAACTAAACTCTTTAACAGATCCACATTTCCTATGCTTTTCCAATGCAATACTGAATGCTAAGTAATCATATTTCTATTATCTGACATGTCTTCTCTACTTCTATATTTTATTTTTTAAAACCGCCTCCACCAGGCACGGTTAAAGTCTGCGTAAACTCTATCCTCCCAAACCCCACTGTTGGATTAACAAAAACTGTAACTTTTACACCCTAAGAGCAATAAAGTATATTGGTCAGATTATAAATGTCAATACAAATTCCCTTCTATTCAAGACCATGTCTTCAAAAACCTCTAAAGGAAAATTAAGAATTCTCCAAACACAATTAATTCCAACACAGATAAATTCTTATACTCCTAATAGCAATGAAAAGGGTAAAAAGAAGAAACCTGAAAGACAGGAACACAGAGATGTTCAAAGCAGATCAGGCAATCCAACACATCCGGATCCAATAACGTCACAGAAATTGACCTGTTTATGATTGAATCCTCAAAATTCTGATACACGCTCTCACCAGAAATAGACTTGTTCTCTCTTAAAACCTCGGATTCACGAACTGGCACCCTCCGATCACCGCTCGATCGGAAATTTCCCTCAGATTCCGATCCCCAATCCTCCTCCTCTGCCTCTTCCTCTAATTTTCCTGAACAACCCTTTCCCTTTCTCTTTCTTCTACTTCTTCTTGTTGACGGATTACGACGCCGCGAGAGAAATTTCCGGCGGTAGTCCTCCGTCTCTTGCATACAGATGTGCTGGAGTTACAGGGTCCTCCTTCATCATTATCATGTTCATCTCTTCCAACTAAAAATCTCACCATTTCTTCTTCTTCTTTGCTGCTAGATGAATGGTTCACTCTTATCATGGTCAAAATTCGGTTTTTGTAAATATTATTTTAATATCTTATTATATTATTATTATTATCATATATTTATACTATTTCTTTAAAATAACCTATGGGATGTTTTTGCAAAATTTGGTTACAAAATCGAATGTGGTCAAATACTTAAGATTTGAATTTAATGTTTTCTTGAAAATGTGTTTTACTATGAGGTAATAGTTTTATTTAATTTATAAATAAGTTGTATAGAATTTATCTTTTTTAGTTAAGAAAATGAGTAATTAGATTACGAAGAAATTTAATTAATGATTAACTTTATTTGAATATGTATTTTTTATGTCACATTAGTACATTGAACTTGGGTGGTGTTTGATTAAGAGTGTTTGAATTGACTTGTTTTAAGTGTATTTAACTAAAAAAATTGTAAGCACTTTTGAAGTATTTAGGTAAATTAAAAGTGTTTATACATTACTTTCTCCGTTTAAAAAAGAATGGTCTAGTTTGACTTGGATGGAGTTTAAGAAAAGAAAGAATTTTTTTTGATCTTGTGGCTCTAAATTAAAATTTATGACAAATATACCAAAATGCTCTTTAATCTTGTGGTCTTAAATATGTCATGTGAAAAGTTAAAATTAAAGTTTTTCCAAAAATTAAAAAGGGGTCATTCTTTTTGAAATAGACTAAAAAAATGAGATCATTCTTTTTTAAAAGGAGAGAGTATTGTTTTGCTTCACGAATTAAGAAAATGTGTAATTGGACGACGAATTATGGTTTACTAAGAAATTTATTAAATGATTATGTCACGTTAATACATTAAATTGGTCGGGGTTTGATTAAGAGTGTGTTTGAATTAACTTGTTTTAAATGCTTTTAACTAAAAAATTTGTGAGCAATTTTGATGAATTTAGGTAAATTAAAGTGTGTATACAGATTATTCTTTTGCTTCATAAATTAAGAAAATGAGTAATTAGATTACCAATTATGGTTTATTGAGCACTTTATTTACTGATTTACTTTATGTGAATATATTTATTTGTCATTAGTACATTGAACTAGCAAGCAATATATAGTTGTTATTAACTTCTTTATGCCTTCAGGACGAGATATTTTTCCCATTTCATTAATACTGTCTGATTCCATGATAAGTGTTCCAACTAATGCATTATAATATAGAACTAAAGATTGATCACGTGATAATTTGAGTTAAAAAAAAATAATAGATAAATTTTGGCTTTGAGGCGTGAAGAATCACTTTCTTTCAAGAGTCATAGGGACTACAAGTAATTTTTTTATCAGAATACATCAAAGCCTGAAACCTATGTGCAATTGAATATGCTGATAGAGAGGGTAAAAGTCCCACATTGATTGGGCAGTGGACTGGTGGTGGTGTCCTCAAATGGACTATGAAATCCTTCCTTCATGAGATAGTTTTTTGTATTGAGTTATGTTTACGTGTCATATCTTTACATAATATCAAAGTTAGATCCATCATCGTTTGAGCTCCTGGTTCGCTGGTCAGTTTGGAAATCTATACCTAATGAACAAGCTTTTAGGGTTGAGTTAGACTCAAGTAGTGTCATATTAATTACAGACACGACATCCAGAAGTTCACTAATTATAGAAGCAATCAAGGAAACCTTTTCGATAAAAATCTCATTTAATCTCATTTTTTGAATCGATACAACCTCTGTGTTCAATTAATCTATTTAAATATTATGACATTCATATTTATAAGTTCATATTTGTAATAACTTATTTCAAGAATGATCTATTATATTTCTAACCATTAAGTGAGTCAAATTTTATCACATGAATTGAAAGAAGTGAGTTATTACTATAAATTGTAACGAAACGAGATGACAGACTTCATTATGTTCATAACTAATAAATCAGATAAGATGTTTTACTCATCTAACTCAATTACATAAGGTTGAAAGCCAAGTTGGATATCATCATCTGCTTGTCCTCCTTACATGAGTAGTGCTTCTTTTATGTCTTAAAGGCGCCTTTGACAATAAAGGAATCAAGACGGAGGCACGACTACAAGGCACTTGGCAATGGTCACAATATTTTTATTCCACCTTTTTAAAATTGTCCCACATTTATAGAACGAATGAGGTATAGATCTTGCACATTTTGCGCCTCATTATCTTTCCTGTATCAATGAAAGGTCAAAGATTCAAATCTTTACAGGGTAACAAAGTAAGACATGCCATTTTTGTATCTATGAAACTTGTGGGAACCCCGATTAATTCACACTCAAAATTAAGTCTAGCCTTGGTTGCCGAAATGAATATTTTTTTCAAGGGAATGAAATTTAATTTGTCTTCTTACATTGTATTTTAAGAAATTCTAATTGATTAAGACTAAAAATCGTTCTATTTAATTCCACAATTGTAAAGGAGGGAAGTAGAGTAGCACTAACATTGAGTTGGAATTTAGTCAGTGAATTCAAGATTAAAAAGAGAAATTAAACAAAGAGATGGGATTAAAGCATTTATGAGACGCCAATATACAACTATGCCATGTTTAGGCACAAAATAAAGTTTTTGGAAAAAGTAATTATGTTTTCATGATTCACGATACAAAAGAGGTAGACCTGAGATTTTTCCCTAATAAATTCAATGAAGAAATGAAATTAAATATTTGACCATAAACTTTGGATAAAATTTTAAAAAATCTATGCTTGGATAATTTTCAAGTTTCAAAATTTTGTTCTTCTCGAGAGAATTTTCACTTTCACTCACAAAAATTCAATTTATTTCATGTAAAATGTACGTTCAAACATAAAATCAAATTTCAAAATATGACAACTTCAGAAATTCAAATTTTTAAATTTCAACTTTAAAATTTATGCTCAAATTAACAGGAATATCATGCATGACACTTTATAGTTCTCGTGATTCTAACATTTTGGTGGTTTGAATTTCCAAACAAGTTTACTTTGAATTACGAGTGTGAGCCAATCTTAAATGACCTCATTCAAGGAAATACTTACGGTTTGAGGTGTGTCGATGACAATGTCTTTAAAAATATTTCACTTGATTTAAGTACATATTCTTGAATTTAACAAGCTCTTCTATATAAAATATGAGTGAAAATATTTAATTAGAACTAAATCCAATACATTTATAGAATATATGGGAGAAGAAATGAATCTTCATCTTTACTCTCATTAGGAGAAAAAACTACCATAAATTACATACATAATTATAAAGCCAAATACAGACCAGATGATGTGACACATCTCTTGGCATAGAAAATTACTACTATCTTTTATATTACATTTTTTTGAATTTTTTACTTCATTATTTTGATTAATCAATTCATTTGATAATTATAAAAAAATCTTACACCTAAATAAATCTCATGAGTTATATAAAAAAACATATACCTTTGTATTCTCACTTAATTAACTACATGTCATCTTAATTCCCTTCTATCTTATTCTTGTATCAAACTATAAATATCAATTATGTATGGAGTTGTTGGATAGTTATTTTCATTTTCTCCTTTTTAATAAGTATCTTTTTTCCTTTATTTTTCAACGCTAATGTATTTAGTAATTAATAGAAAGGACATAAAAAAAGGTTACGTGAAAATATGGCCATAACTTAGATGAGTATTGAGTTTGAAATGAACATGATAAGCGAATACATTTTCTTCCTTGGAATACAAATTAAGCAAACACCTACTGATTTCTAAGGGGCAGAGTAGCCTTTCTAAATCAGAAGAAAGGTGAAATTGTTGAAACAGGTACAGTTGAAATTTTCTCAGGCTTCGGAGGTAACAAAATTTGAATCTCACTTTTTGACATATAAAATGTATATGTTGATGAATCAAGGTCCTTGTTGTAGAATTTTCAGCAAGTTTTCCTCTTTATTAAACTTTGTTATATAATAGTCGTGAGCTAAATTAGTGAAGATGCGCCCAATCCCTTGCTTCTTTCTCTCACTTAAAATTAGACTCACCAAGGTAGTTAATAGTTTTAGTTTTCTTGAAGTGCGTGATTTGACGGTCTTTTTCAATCACTCTCCACAACATAATCAATGTCTCTTTTAGATAGTTGAGGTTATTCTTTTTTTCCTATTTAATGGAATGAGTCAATAGTTTATAGATTCTTCTTTTTTCTTGATTGGATAATAATTAATAATACGTGGTCACCTTCTTCATCCTCTTGTAATAGTTTCTTATATTTTTGTTGTTCATCCTTATTGAGGCATGAGTGCTAGCTGTTCATCCATCTTGAAGGAGACAGGGAGGAATTCGTATGTTTTGAAAGACTTCTTCCTCTCTTCTTGTCCCTCAATCCTGGCTTAATTATAATCCCCCTTTATCAGGTGGGGCTAGTGGATTTAGGTCTCGAGAAATAGAACGCGACAACTATTTTAAGACGGACGCAATATTAAACTAAGTGATAAGGTAGATTTTCTCTCTCTTTTCTTCCATTATGACTTATAACGGTTCACAAAGCTGCAAAATAGTAATTAATTTGCTTTAAGTAAGTGACGATTAGAAAAAAAAGATTTAAACATATATATGCCAAACCATCCAAGAGTTACATTCCATAACGTTTACAAAATAAAATGTTTACTTGAGCACTTGTTGAATACATATACTTGCAATTATAAGAAGATAATTTATGCAAAAAAGCTATCTGAAATTTGATACCCTAGCAAATTAAGTACAAGTAGCATCTTAATAAGACAAACTAAAATAGCCAAAATGCAATCAAAAAACTTGTATCTAATTTATTGCAAGCAAAGGGGTGTTGGGATCTTCTGAACCTGCAAAACATTTTCAATGGGGCCCTGAATCAACTTGAAGCGACAAGTTTCACCATTAGCTATTTTGTTATCTTTTCGAAAGGCAGTCCATCCTTCTTTTATGATAACCATACTCCTAGCATACTCTATTTCCACTTTCCATTATACTCCTTCTTCATTAACCAACCTCATATTCTTCATGTTTATTATGTCTGTTTGTTGGGCGAATCTCAACGGGATAGCCTAAAAAACATATTCATCAAACAAACAGGATTATTAGATTTTCATGGAAATAACTAGAATGTGCAAACTTAGCGAATTTAAAAACACAATGTAAAACTATTAAACCTTACCATACAAGTAGCATGTGACTTTTTTATAACCATTTCAAAAAACGGATTGTCACCAGTTAAGTCCACCAAACTGTATCGACTGCTATAATTATTTGGACCAACTTTTTCACTTATACTATTAGCTTCTCCAACCTCCTTATCTACAACAGCTTGACATAAGTATAACAATTAGTACAATATTCTACTAATAAATTCACTTAATTAATGGCTAATAAAGCACTTAAGATGTTTACTTATGTTGCTCAATTACATTAGCATTAGTTTGAGGGCAATTAACTGGAATATGTTCCTCTTCATCCTCGATTACATTAGCGTTAGATTGGAGAATTGGAATATCTTCTTCGATTACATTAGCATTAGATTGGAGAATTAGAATATCTTCTTCGATGATATTAGCATTAGCTTGGGAAAATAGAATATCTTCCTCTTGTTCATCTGATTCAATATCTTGATCTATTGGATATTCAATTTCTGTTTTACTCTGATCATATATAGCGACAGAAAACTGACAACGCGGGTTGTACGTGAACATTAATACGCTCTTGACTCTTATTGAGTAATAGTCACAAAAATCACTCCATCCCTTGGCTAGCCAAATTTGGCCTTGAGAATTTTCCACTTCAACCTCCCAAGCTTTTCCATGGGGAGCCTCAAGAAACACGGGGTTTAACATGTTCTCGCAGTGTCTTTTGGCAAATACTACTGGAATCCTCTGTGTGCAAAAGAAATTACAAATTTAATTTCATACAAACACAATTATTTTAACTTATATCTTGGAATAAATCAACAATTTACAAGGACTAAAATTACAACTAATTACTTACCAGACGGCGTAATTCATCTAATGAAGTAAGGATTTGGATGAACTTAGGGTTGTTGGGAGAAGAGCTCCTTAATGAAGATCCATGGAACTCGTTTGCCATGATAGATGGTAGGATGGGAAATTGTTGAAGAACTTGTTTACTATATATAGGAGTTTGATTCACGAGAACCATGCAGAGCGCACTCACAAGGATACTATTATATTTCAGTCATCACATGATGCTTGTGATGACTACTTGCTTTGTCTTGGAATAATAACCATATTGTTTTTTTTTTGACTTCTTTTTAAGATTCATTCACCTAACCCTATAAATTACCACTTATTTACACTCACGTGAATGTGACTACTATTGCTTTTTCTTGGAATGCACAAAGATACTTTTTTCCTTTTTCTTTTCTTTCTTTTTGACTTCTATTATAGACTCATTCACCTGACCCTATTACTACTAATTGACACTAGCATTATTACTCTACGTTTTATTTATACTAACTCGTGAAATTTGCGGCAATTGTAGAAATGTATTTAAATTTATCATATCATCTTTTTTAGGATATTGAAATAATTTTTAAGCAATATATATTTTTGAGTTAATTCATAAATGTGAATTATTTAAAAGGTATATGCAGTGTATGAGCATTATTTAAATTAAAACATATACTAATGCAAGTTTGCTACTAAAATCCAAAGATAGTCTGCAAAACTTAAATTCTTAAAAACTAATCCAAAGAAAAAAACAAATGTATTTAGAAATACTAAAATAGGGCAAGTCCCCAACTGTCGCAATGGTGTGAGTCCTTTTCTATGTTCTCGCCACAGAGAAAGTAATGCACATAAGAAAGAAGAAAATTTATGATGTAAGGCCCTAGTTGGCTTGGTTCTCTCTTACTCTTGTCTACACTCCCCTAGGCTTTGTTTGTAGGTTTTTCTTTTGCCTAGTTTTGTCTCAAACCAAAGAGGAACAAAGAAAAAGTACGTAATGGACATACCTTTAACTCTCATGTCTTAAGGACGAGATATTTTTCCCATTTCATTAATATTGTCTGATCCCATGATAAGTGTTCCAACTAAAGCAATTACCATATTAATTTCAATCACAATATTAGTGACATAAGGTATAAATAATCAAATTAAAGCACTTACTAAAAGAAATTTGGAATTATCAATACAGTAGTACAACACAACATCTTCTTATTAAATTAGATTGAACAGTAATATGAGCTGATTGTGCCATCAGTGTTGCACAGCTAATCAGGCCTTTCATCACCTAAAACAACAAAGGGAGGCATTTGTGAAACTACAACATTTTATTTCTTAAATTAGTTTTGATGACAATAGATTTTGGTGTTTTAATTAAGTAAGTTACGATGCTGTTATATCAGATTGGTTTGGTTTTCTCAAAATGAGCTAGTGGACTTGAAATTATAAATTCATTTGTGATCCTCATGACTTAGACAAAAATTCTATATTTTATCAACCTAATGATGTTTTGGTTGAATTTTGAAGATTCTAATATAAATTAAGAACATTCTTTGAAATATATCTTTTATATATATATATATATATATATATATATATATATATATATATATATTTATATATTTACTACAATAGAACATGCTCACTCTTTCTAAAATAAAGATCCATAGATATATTGTTTCCTTCCATTTAAAAAAGGAAGGAACTAACACAAAGTATCTGGAAAAAATATACGCCGTAATTTAGAGTATTTAATTAGTGAAATAATATTATATTCATTCAGCAGAAGGACACATGATGACATTAAACAAAAGCTTGGGTTATTTTAAACACAAACTCCTTTAGTTGAAGTACCATGTAACTATGTCTATTGGAAAAGAACTCCTACCTACTGACGGCGTTATGGTCTGGTAATTTGAAGGATGCATTATAATATATAACTAAAGATCGATCACGTGATAATTTGAGTTAGAAAAAATATAATAGATAAATTTTGGCTTTGAGGCGTGAAGAATCACTTTCTTTCAAGATTCATAGGGACTACAAACAATTTTTTATTAGAATACATCAAAGCCTGAAACCTATGTGCAATTGAATATGCAGACAGAGAGGGTAAAAGTCCCACATTGATTGCGCAGTGGACCGGTGGTGGTGTCCTCAAATGGACTATGAAATCCTTCCTTCATGCGCTAGGTTTTTGTAGTGAGTTATGTCTAGGTGTCATATCTTTACATAATATCAAAGTTAGATCCATCATCGTTTGAGCTCCTGGTTCACGTGTCAGTTTGGAAATCCATCCCTAATGAACTAGCTTTTAGGGTTGAGTTAGACTCAAGTAGTGTCATATTTATTACATAAACCACATCCGGAAGTTCACGTAATTATAGAAGCAGTCAAGGAAACCTTTTCGACAAAAATCTCATTTAATCTCATTTTTTGAATCGATACAACCTTTGTGTTCAATTAATCTATTTAAATATTATGACATTCATGTTTATAATAACTTATTTCAAGAATGATCTTTTATATTTCTAATCATTAAGTGAGTCAAATTTTATCACATGAATTGAAAGAAGTGAGTTATTACTATAAATTGTAACGAAACGAGATGACTGACTTTATTATGTTCATAGCTAATAAATCAGATAAGATGTTTTACTCATCTAACTCAATTACATAAGGTTGGAAGCCAAGTTGGATATCATCATCTATTTGTCCTCCTTTCATGAGTAGTGCTTCTTTTATGTCTTAAAGGCGCCTTTGACAATAAAGGAATGAAGACGGAGGTGCGACTACAAGGCACTTGGCAATGGACACAATGTTTATTTCTTCCTTTTTAAAATTGTCCCACATTAATAGAATGAATGAGGTATAGATCTTGCACATTTTGCGCAGGTATTATCTTGCCTCTGTCAATGAAAGGTCAAAGATTCAAATCTTTACAGGGTAACAAAGTAAGACATGCCATTTTAGTATATATGAAACTTGTGAGAACCTCGATTAATTCACTCTCAAAATTAAGTCTAGCCTTGGTTGTGAAAATGAATATTTTTTTTCAAGGGAATGAAATTTAATTTGTCTTCTTACATTGGATTTTGAGAAATTCTAATTGATTAAGACTAAAAATCGTTCTATTTAAATCCACAATTGAAAAGGAGGGAAGTAGAGTAGCACTAACATTGAGTTGGAATTTAGTCAGTGAATTCAATATTAAAAAGAAAAATTAAACAAAGAGATGGGATTAACAAAAGAGGTAGACCTGAGATTTTTCCCTAATAAATTCAATGAAGAAATGAAATTAACTATTTGACCATAAACTTTGGATTAAATTTTAAAATCTATGCTTGGATAATTTTCAAGTTTCAAAATTTTGTTCTTCTCGAAAGAATTTTCACTTTCACTCAAAAAAATTCAATTTATTTCATGTAAAATGTACATTCAAACATAAAATCAAATTTCAAAATATGACAACTTCAGAAATTCAAATTTTTAAATTTAAACTTTAAAATTTATGCTCAAATTAACAGGAATATCATGCACGACACTTTATAGTTCTCGTGATTCTAACATTTTGGTGGTTTGAATTTCCAAACAAGTCTACTTTGAATTACGAGTGTGAGCCAATCTTAAATGACCTCATTTAAGGAAATACTTACGGTTTGAGGTGTGTCGATGACAATGTCCTTAAAAATATATTTCACTTGATTTAAGTACATATTCTTGAATTTAACAAGCTCTTCTATATAAATATGAGTGAAAATATTTAATTAGAAATAAATCCAATACATTTATAGAATATATGGGAGAAGAAATGAATCTTCATCTTTACTCTCATTAGGAGAAAAAACTACCATAAATTACATACATAATTATAAAGCCAGATACAGACCAGATGATGTGACATATCTCTTGGTATAGAAAATTACTACGATCTTTTATATTACATTTTTTAGAATTTTTTACTTCATTATTTTCATTAATCAATTCGTTTGATATTTATAAAAAAATCTTACACTAAATATATCTCATGAGTTATATAAAAAACCATATACCATTGTATTCTCACTTAATTAACTACATGTCATCTTAATTCCCTTCTATCTAATTCTTGTATCAAACTATAAATATCAATTATGTATGGAGTTGTTGGATAGTTATTTTCATTTTTTCCTTTTTAATAAGTATCTTTTTTTCCTTTATTTTTCTACGCTAATGTATTTTCTAATTAATAGAAAGGACATAAAAAAAGGTTACGTGAAAATATGGCCATAACATAGATGAGTATTGAGTTTGAAATGAACATGATAAACGAACACATTTTCTTTCTTGGACTACAAATTAAGCAAACACCTACTGATTTCTAAGGGGCAGAGTAGCCTTTCTAAATCAGAAGAAAGGTGAAATTGTTGAAACAGGTACAGTTGAAATTTTCTCAGGCTTCGGAGGTAACAAAATTTGAATCTCACTTTTTGACATATAAAATGTATATGTTGATGAATCAAGGTCCTTGTTGTAGAATTTGCAGCAAGTTTTCCTCTTTATAAAACCTTGTTATATAATAGTCGTGAGCTAAATTAGTGAAGATGCGCCCAATCCCTTGCTTCTTTCTCCAACTCAGAATTAGACTCACCAGGGTAGTTAATAGTTTTAGTTTTCTAGAAGTGCATGATTTGACGGTATTTCTCAATCACTCTCCACAACATAATCAATGTCTCTTTTAGATAGTTGAGGTTATTCTTTATTTCCCATTTAATGGAATGGGTCAATAGTGTATAGATACTTCTTTTTCTTGATTGGATAATAATTAATAATATGTGGTCACCTTCTTCATCCTCTTGTGATAGTTTCTTATATTTTTGTTGTGTATCCTTATTGAGGCATGAGTGCTAGCTGTTCATCCATCTTGAAGGAGACAGGGAGAAATTAATATGTTTTGAAAGACTTCTTCCTCTCTTCTTGTCCCTCAATTCTGGCTTAATTCTAATCCTCCTTTATTAGGTGGGGCTAGTGGATTTAGGTCTCGAGAAACAGAACGCGGCAATTATTTTAAGACGAAGGCAATATTAAACTAAGTGATAAGGTAGATTTTCTCTCTTTTTTCTTCCATCATGACATATAACGGTTCACAAAGCTGCAAAATAGTAATTAATTTGTTATAAATAAGTGATGATTAGAAAAAAAAGATTTAAACATATATATGCCAAACCATCCAAGAGTTACATTCCATAACGTTTACAAAATAAAATGTTTACTTGAGCACTTGTTGAATACATATACTTGCAATTATAAGAAGATAATTTATGCAACAAATCTATCTGAAATTTGATACCCTAGCAAATTAAGTACAAGTAGCATCTTAATAAGACAAACTAAAATAGCCAAAATGCAATCAAAAAAATTGTATCTAATTTTTTGCAAGCATAGGGGTGTTGGGATCTTCTGAACCGGCAAAACATTTGCAATGGGGCCCCCAATCAACTTGAAGCGACAAGTTTCACTATTAGCTATTTTGTTATCTTTTCGAAAGGCAGTCCATCCTTCTTTTATGATAACCATACTCCTAGCATACTCTATTTCCACTTTCCATTATACTCCTTCTTCATTAACCAACCTCATATTCTTCATGTTTATTATGTCTGTTTGTTGGGCGAATCTCAACG